GGTGTCCAAATTCATCTCCACAGACAAAACTACATTTTGGCGTCTGCAAAACATTTCCTGCGGGTTTTTCCTCCTCTTTCACGTGCCGTTATTCCCAGCGACAGGAACGCAAAGGTAGCATTCCTTATGAACCTGGACCACATCAAGATGGCCTCTCCCCAAATGTACTTTCTTTTACGCTAAGCCTGTTGCAGAGCCTCCCCGGTGAGAACACTTCCACTCCTCCTTCAAGTGGCACCGGAGCCTCGTCTGATAGGCCAGAAAAAGCTGAAAAGGCCTTTTGTGGTGAAGGGAAAGACAATCCTGAGGAGAAGATAGACAAACGCTCAAATTTTCTGCACTACAGCAGAGTGCCTTGCAGTTGTTCAGAGACCCCAAAATACTTTAGAAGTCTCAGGCCTCCGAGTAATAAAGTTCCTGTCTAATCAAGACAGAATCTGGAGGCAAAAGTTGCCATTTAAAACAAAACGAAGCCAGTGCAATTCTCCTTTCTTTCTTTCTTTCTTTCTTTCTTTCTTTCCCTCAGTCAGAGTTCTGCAGAAGGAAGCATTCAATGTTTGCAGCAGATCTTTTCAAAAACCACCCCACATTTGCCAAGGCATAGTAAAAGATCCCAGCACTGTTTTTTTTGAGGGGCCGCATGTGTCTTGTTACTACAAGTATTAGGATGCAAATCTCATATCGCACAAGCTTTTGGCCGGCCAATAAACACAAACCTGGCCTGCAATGTCTGCGCAGAACAAAAGGCTTGCTGCTAAACTAGCAGGAGCGCTACATAAACAAGAAGCATTCTTGGAGTCTGAGGTCACTGACTTGCTCAGTTCTATTTCACCCCCGTCTGCAATTTGACAATTTAAGCATGGGAGAGGCAGTCCTGTTCCCCCACCTCGCAGCATGCACACACATGCACACCCTGAAGAATGCAAGTTGTTCTTTCCAGAGGTTTACAAATGAACGCTCCATTCCATGCACTCTGTTCTCAGTAAAGAGTATTTTAATGTTAGTGTTGGGAAAATCCCTCTTTAAGAATGAAGTAATACACATGTGTGTGAATATGAGAGGGGGTGGTTACACTGATTACATTTTGTATCTAATTCCAATATTTATTATTCATTCTCCAAAGTTAGTATTTTTAGCATCTCTTAAAAGGGGCATTGTTTTATTCAACAGCATCCATCACTGCCAATGTTAATATTGAGGTCCCCTAAAATATTGCATTGGTTCACGTTCAGCTTCTTGAAAATCTCAACTTTAATTTTTATTAGTGAGTTTTAGCTCATGGAGCTCCGCTGATTTGTTTGAAAATGTGTGGGGAATGACCATGGGAATCTCAAACAAGACTAGATTGCTCAGGTCACCTACTGGGGTGTGTTTGAGCAGAACTCCCCCTTCCTCCCTACTAACAAGTAAATTAAATTAAGCAAAATTCCAAGTTATGCAGGGTCCTCCCAGGAACTACTTTTCTGCACCCCTGCACCCCTTTAGCTCTACCAGTCCTTGAAAGACAGAAGGAAGCCGGTTCCCCACTACTAGGAATATGGCTGCACAAAAAGGGACCCCGCTGCTAGGCATTTTCCAGAAGGAAGACAGCCTCCAAGGTCTAAATATCTGCCCAGACGTTGACGCTGGGCTGCCCTTTAAGTGGACTGCCCAACCCTTCTGCGGATTCTAAAATGCCACTCAGCACAGAGAAGAGCGATGGAGGCCTGCTGGTACCCTAAGCTAGCTGAACTACGGCCGAACCACAGAGGGCAAGAACCTGTCCAAGAATTCCGTAGAAGCTTAAAATATATAGGAACTGCACATGTATTTATTGTATTGGATTCATACTTACCAAACTACAATATATGGGAACCCTACCTCCCAGTTTTCCATCAGGGCAGTTTTCAAATCTACAAGTATGAACTCTTCTGCTATGTGCAGCTGAAATGCTTCTCAGCTCCCACAGAAGTGACTGTGTCCTCCCTATGAATCAAGTATTAACCTGATCTAAAAATTCTGCAGTGCCAGAGGACTTACATGGAACTGTCTTTGAAAGCATACAGCCCGAGAAGAATAGACAACCTTTTGGCCACCATTGCATCATGGATTACCATGACTCCTTGCTATGAACCCCGAGAGAAAAGTTGCCAAACGATATCCCTGATATGGTCTGATGCCCTTCCCTAATCTAGTACATTCGTCCAAACAGCTTGTCAACATGGCTGAAGGGAGAGCTGGAGATGCACAGATGAGCAAAGGACAAAGCTGGAGAGGCTACAGCCAGCTAACCTCCATCATGTTATGGGTTATGGATCCAGTTCCATTTTGTGACATTAAGAACGGAGAAAAATAAAAACACGCAGCTCATGTAAGGGGCAATGACAGCCTTCTTTCGAAGATTTCCAAGGACAATTTCTTTGGCCAGCATCATGTGGAAACCTTCCGTTTAACGGGAGGAATTTGCTGTTTGAGCAGGCTTGATGCCAAACTGCTCTGATCAGCCAGAGGGGGCATTTGTGTCCCACATGGCTCTGGTTCCCACAGCTGCTGGAGATAATTTTTTTTTTTAGCATCCAAAGAATGTTAAAAATATAAGATCTGGGCAGTGGGAAGTAATTTAGGGGAAGGGAGTAGAAGAGCATTCTCTTAAAAAGTTGTTTGTATACAGATCATTGCAAAAAGTATTCTGTGTGGAATGCAGAGAAAGACTGGCCAAGGGCTACACAGGACTAAAACCTTCTCTTACCAAACAATCCATATTTTTCAACAAGCAACCCAAATGTATCAATAGAAGAAAATATCTGTAGCTCAGGGTTGAACAACATCTACATACCATTCAAAGGACACTGTCAAAAAGTGAAAAAGGACACAAAAAACACCAAGAGACTTCCTCACCAGCAATTAACACCCAGATAAACAGAGATTAATATCAGGATTAATACCAGACCAAAAATAAAGCAGTAAACGACAGCCTGATCAAAGAACTCGCAGGAACACTCTCATTAATGCTGACAGGCCAAGCCACTCGTATGTAAACAGAGGGGCAACCCCACTCCCTTCTAGCACTGATGATGTTACCTAGTTGTGTAAGGAAACATCTGCAGGGAAACCACAAGCTCAGAAAGCAAGATGAACCCCACAAATCCAAATATTATTAATTATATTAATGTTAAAATATATCTGAGCTGCCTTTTGTTGTTTGTTTTGGGTTTTGCCAATCATCTTGAGGAAAAAGCAGATATGTAAGATGCCCAATAACCCACGAGATTTCAGCCCTCCCTCTCGCCTCTTGGGCTGGATAGAGGTGGATATGTGAGAAGGAGAACAATGTCCGATTTCTTAAATGCTGTCCCGTCCCCACAGCTGGAAGCCTCCAATGATGCAACCTTCCATGACCCCAAGAGGCAGATGGTCCCACTGCTTGATAGAGCTCAGAAAATCCCTCCTTATTTTGAGTTTGCATCTCTTGCTCTTGATTCTGGTCTGACTCTTGGGACTTATGGGCAATCCACCCCTTCTTCCCTGTGGTCACTTTACACCCATATTGCTTAGCTATGGAAATTCCAATCCCATAACCCAAAGATCACCTACCTATACATGGTTTACTTGCCGTATTATTCTTTCAATAACCCCAAAAGTCAGCCTAGGTTAGGAGACCGTAGTTTTCCCAAGATCACCCACTGAGCTTCCCAATTAAGCATGTTTTGATCCCAGATGTTTCTAGTTCTAGACCAACACTTGATAACATCAGATCCGAAGTATGGAGTAAACAGATGTTTCCAATGTGGTTTCTGCCAAATGTTTACTGATCGGATTTCCCTTTCCTCCAAGGAAAACATGTACCATTCTTTTAGCACTTTCTTAGTACTATTCCAGAAATGTTCTTTCCTTGTAGCAAAGTGTCTACTGTCTCTTTACAACTGATTTGCAATAATTATGTGTTGAGTTTTAAATATTTCTTTACTTGAAATGTCTTTTTAATCCAATGGGACACTCTGATGGCTTACAATCTGCCACCATCATGAGATTAGAAATCACACAACAAACCCCCAAGACGTGCAGCTCCAGTGATCACAATAGAAGCTCCTTTCCTCCCCAAATGCCCCCAAGAACACCTGGGTGGTCTTTAAGGTGAGGGGCAGTCCTTACATTGGGGGGGAAAGTCATTCAAGATGCTATACAATCCCAAGAACCTTCCAGGTTTACATGGATCCGATGAGAGAAGCAGATCCATCTGAAGGTCTGTTCAAATCTTCCCTCTGAGTGTGTGTGACACTCACTATACAAGTAGTCCTTGACTTACAACAGTTCATTTAGTGACCATTTAAAATTACAACAGCACTGAAGAAAGTCACTTATGACCATTTTTTACACTTATGACTGTTGCAACATCCCCATGGTCACGTGATCAAAATTCAGATGCTTGGCAATTGGTTCATTTATGACAGCTGCCTTGTCCTGAGGTCATGTGATCCCCTTCTGCAAACTTCTTGACAAGCAAAGTCAATGAGGAAGCCAGATTCACTTAACAACTTTAATACTACTAACAACTGCAATGATTCACTTAACAACTGTGGCAAGAAAGTCATAAAATGGGGGCAAAACTCACTTAATAAATGTCTCACTTAGCAACAAAAATGTTGGGCTCAATTGTGCCCATTAGTCGAGGACTACCTATAGAGCAGGGGTAGGCAACCTTGGCTCTTTTATGACTGGTGGACTTCAACTCCCAGAATTCCTGAGCCAGCATGGCTCAGCTTGGAAACCTCTCCCTTTCCCCTCAGCGTGGCTGGCTCAGGAATTCTGGGAATTGAAGTCCACGAGTCATAAAAGAGCCAAGGTTGCCTACCCCTGCTATAGAGTTATAGGCCACATTTCAGAAGTTGTTCTTAAGTAGCACGAATCAAAACTCACACTGAACAATCATGGAGACACCCTGCTGGCGGGGTTCAGTTTTAACAGGGGCACAAGGCATAAGAATTGTATAGGTGTTGTCTGAGTATAAATGTGCAACTTACCACAAGAGCAGCATGTAAAGCAGTTGGTATGGTAAAGGTTCCCCATGGCTTGGCAAGCTTGGCTGGCCCCATACACCCCCTTTCCACACTTGATACAAATACCTTTGGAGGAAAAAAACAGAAGAGGCGTTAGACCTTGTTAATGGTCTGCAGGTACCCCTCCCGACTAGCAATCTGCAGGTGTCTTACTTGTAGGAAAACATGACATTCCAACAGAAGAGCTGTGGGGTGCAAATGGCTCTAACCCCATTGGTACACTTTTAATTTCTTAATTTCCCATCCACCTCCTTTCCCTCTTTCCAATCCTTTTCTTTCAACCTTTTTCTGCTCTGCTAGAGTGAGCGAGGTGGGTATTAACATGCTCATACTTACGTGCTTCTGTGCATGAGTGATTATGGCTGCTAAACTCAAATGGAAGTCAGTTATTGTTGCCAAGGAGTAGCTCATTTCAGAGGCAAGTGATTTTCTTGCCAGCTATTGCTTTTATTTTGTTCTTGGCATTGGGGGGCAAGGGGGAGTAGCTTCACATGGGAACTCCCTGTCGCCATGTGCCTCAGCCAAGGGGTGGGCGAAAGGTTAGGGCTGCCCATGGCAGAAAGCCCTGTCAGGTACATACATCCCTGCACCTTCACCGTTCCAGAACCACAGAAGAACCTTTTTGCTCAAGGTCACTGGTACCAAATGGATTGGTCCTTAGGATGAACCCTGCAACCCTTGCAGAAACCAGACCAAAGCTATTCCCTAATTCCATGAGAAACGAATGCCAATTCTTGCAATAAAATAATAATAAAAAGTAATAATAAAAATTTTGCAAGTACCACTTGCAAATTTGCATGTGTACATTTAGCACGTTCTGTTATATTATTAATTAAGAATTAAGAAACTATTGGCAAGGGGCAAGAAGGAATACTCATTACATGAGACCAGAGAACCAGAACAAAGAGTAGCATTTGCCGAGTCACTGGAAGAAAACACAGCTGCATTGTTTGCCAAAGTTATGTACTGAAAATAAAATTTGGCCTATGGACAATTCCAGTACTTCGGGAGAACATTTGTGTACAGCAGATCGCGGTCATTTCCCTCCACTAAACAGATGCTATTTCACTTGGGAAAGTTGTTCAAAGAGGCACTGGAGCATCCGAAGAATGAAGAAACGCTACGGCCCCTTTTTTAGACGAGCATATTAAAAAGACAAACAGAAAAAGTGATTCGGTCAGCCTCATCCTCAATGCCCTGCCCCATCCCACTCTCCTCACAGAGTGTCGCTGTGTACTATCCAAACCCGGCACCCACTCAGAGCAGCACCTGTTCAGATGATTCCAGAAAGGGCATAAGATAACACTCCTTTTGTCTCGGTTTGGCACCTACATGCTGGCTCAGGAATTCTGGGAGTTGAAGTCCACGAGTCATAAAAGAGCCAAGGTGGCCTACCCCTGCCCTAGCTGTATCAGCCTGAATTCGGCAATAAATGTGCAAATTCTGCCTGGGTAAAAAGGTAACTCATGAACGGCTAATTCAGTTTCCAAAATTAGTGCAATCTTACATTAACATGCTCACTTAATCAACATTTATTTTAATAAGTCTTCATTTAGAAAAATCTTCAAACACAGCAACAGATCCCACCCGATGCCCTAACTTCCGAGAATCACATTCTTGGAAGGGACAACAAATTTCCCTCAAGCAAATCAGAACTCATAATATCAGCTGTTTCTAGGAAGCTTCACACAAAATTGAGCCAAAATGTTATTTCGTGCAATTTCTCCCTCCTGGTTCTAGTCCTTCTCCAGAGCAACCACGGGGCACTTCTACATGGCAATGTTTCAAAAAGCAGTCTTTCACGTCTAATCTTACTGTTCTACCGAGTAAATTTTTCAGCCCTGTCATTTCCAAATGCTCCCCATCTTTAAATCATCACTCAATGGGCACATTCCAATTTATAACAGCCTCCTTAAAATGTGCACTCGCATGCAGCATCCCACATCTCCTAGGCCCGTCATAAGAATGCATCGGGAACTATCCTACAGAGTTTATGTATACATGGCACATCACTAAGGTTGGGCTGTTGGACTGGCAGGTGCATAAAATTGAAAGCAATTCCTTCCAAGCAGGAGTTGCAGAGTCAATTCATGGAGAGGGAAGACACAGGATTAGAGAGTTCCAACAAATGAAATATTTCCCATTTACAACCAACATACTCCTATGCCTATCACAATGGAAACGTTTTTTTAGCAGCTCCACTATATTCTCCTTTAGACTCTGCCTCAATTACCATTTGAAGGTACAACAGAAAGAGAGAGTGCAGGGGAGGATACAAAGACTGGAAACTAAATCCTAAGAGTATAGACTGAGCAAACTGACTGTATTTAGCCTTGAGAAAATATGAGAGGGGGACAGACAATAGTCTCCCAATACCTAAAATACTGTACAGAAGTCAAAACCTGCTCTCCATCAATCCCAAGAGAAGACACAGAATATGAGCGAATTTACTAGCTTTCACTTGGATTATGTTCCTGTACATCCTTTAAAAAAGTTTAACAAGAATAAAGCCAAAGAGGGGAGGGGCTGCCTTCACTGGATGCATTCAAATAGCACCAGAGCAACCGGATGTATTAAGCTGGTGAAACAGTGGACTCGATGGCCTCTTCCAAGTTCCTCTAGTGGGAACAGAGATTACTAGAGTTCTAAATATGAGGAGGTGGCAAGCACAAGTTTCTTTTTCCAGTGTTGGTATCTCTCAGGGCCTTAGCGCAGCTCTCCCATATTCTTCACTCACAGCTGACTTAAAAGAGCACTGTAAGGAAGATGACCTTGTCATGGATAGACCCCATCTGTTGCCAAAATGACAAGGGGAAAAACATGGTTTAAATCCAAAACAAGAAGGCCTAGGCAAGAGACACAGGCAGAGGCACAGTGCAAGTTGGGGACGGTGTGAGAGGGGCGCTGCGTGGGTCAGGGAGGGTTGAGGAGAGTACTTGAGGCTGTGAGAGATGCAGGTGGGGAGAGGGCATGGGTCCGTGAGAAATACAGCAAGGGTTGGGGGGGGGAGGTTGTATGTATGGGGGTGGGGTGCTAGTTGCCAGCTGAAACACAGAGATTAGAGGAGGACACATGGCCGGTGGAGCTTATTCCAACAACTTGCACATTTCCCTGCCATTGATTCTCTGGGGAAACCAGTAGGGAAGGTTGCAAATGATGATCACACGATTGTAGCACTTGGCAACCAATTGCACTTAGATTGCAATAATGTGACCACAGGGTGCTGCAACAGCCAAAACTCTGAGGACCATCATTTGTTCAGCGCAGTCGTAATCCGGAACATTGCTGACCAAATGGGTCAGGGTCAAGGTCAAGGTCTACCTGTATAAGAAATGCCTTTGCTGACATTTGAGGGATCACCTTAGAAGCAGGAATGTATGCAGATGATATGTTGTTGACTGATTGTGATTGAACAAAAGAAGGAAGCAGAATCCAGTCACAAAGACAAATGTATGAAAGAATACAACTTGTCAAGATACTCCTAAATCTTCCAAGGTTCTCCAAACTATTCAGCTCATCAACCACCTCATGAAATTTCAGACTGTTCACTGACACCCTCCCACACTAGTTATAGTGTAAGAGTACTCTGGGTAATAGTAATAACAATGTTGGCCTTGGATTGGGGCTTGATACCCACCACTCTGGAGAACCCTGTTCTAAGATGTTTATTCCCCTCCCTTTGTACTGACTACAAATTTAATTATTCCAGGTAAGTGAAATATGTATGTTTTGCTGAGCCCTAATTCCAGTTAAATCCTTTGCTTTATTAATGGGAGCTCACACAAATTCATTTATCACTTTTAGACATCACATAGTATGAAGTTTGGAAGCCTCTGGTATAATGCTTTTTCCAAGTATTTATGTATTTTGAAATACAGCACTTTGAAAATACATTTTCCTATATTTTGCTACATTTCAGATTCAACTAAATCTAAACACATACCGTGATGCTTTAACCAAATACAAGCAGCAGTAGCTTAGTGCATTTGTTTTAGCTTTGCTTGAAAGTAAAACAAATGCTAAACCAAAACACTATCAATTTCATGAGAAAAAAAGTGTCAATGGTGGTTCAGCAAAAAGTGCCCGATTTCCATGAAAGTGTCTTATGATTTACAGCAACCTACACGCAACTCCCCAATCTTGCACTTCCCTGGTCTTTTCTTACAAAGGTGGGATGTTGCAGGGCAGGAAAATGATCTGGAACATTTGACCTTCAGAGAGATGATCAGTCATTTCACCTTGGAAACATGGTAAACTTCATCAGGTCAGGAGCAAATACTGCACAGACCTGGAACACTATTCTGGGTCATGGAATTCCCAAGTTAACCAAGAAAGCAAATGGTAGTTTCCTGTCATGAGAATGTAACTAGAATGTAACTCATGAAAGAGGCACAGCAAAATTAAAAAAGAAAACCGTGAGCCTTCTTCCACTTAAAGATGAAAAATTTCTGCCCGCCACTTTCCTGCTCCAAGAGCTTTCCTGCTCCAAAGGCCATTAAGGGCGATTTGTAGCTGCTACAAGGATACCCTCTCCTGCCTTGGCAGTACAGACGGCCACATCCAAAACCTGCCTGGATTTCTCGGGGCACTTTCAGCATTCAAACAGCCTTCCCAACCTGGGCATTAGCGTTCAGGATCCTCTGATGGCTGGAAATTCTGGAAGCTGAAGGTCCCAGAAGGCGGGCCCTATGAAGAGATTGGCAGAGCAGCCCAACCGCCTGCCAGATGGTACAAAAGGGCCACCCTGTCTGTCAGTTTGCCACTAGCTGGCCAGATGTTCCAGGAAACTTTAAGGCCCAGAAAAGGACTGCCTGGGGCCTTCTTGCTAAGGCAGCGGCCCTTCCGGTTCTCACAGCGGCCTAGAGTTGAAAGGGGCCCTTCGGACCACTGAAGGCCAAACTTGCTTTTTAAACTTTGCTTAACTAGGGAAAAGTGACCAAGCACAAAACTAGTCTTGTTACAGTGAAAAAGAATCCCAGCAAAGGCGGAGGAGGCGCCCCTCTTCTTCTTCTTCTTCTTCTTCCCCTCTGGAGCACCGACTCCAGCCAGCTTCGTTTCAGGGGCGTCTCCCCCCCTCCCGAAGGCAATGAACGGAGCCTGTTCGGGGGGGGGGCGGGAAAGGCGCCTTCGGATCTCACAGGGGCTGGGAAAGAATCTGGCCCAGAGCAGAACAAGACTGTACATCACAAAATGTCGGGACCGCACAAAGAAAAACCTTTTCACCAGAATGAAAGCTACCCTCAGCACGTGCTGCCCAGAGAGCCGGACGCTCTTTAACCGGCCCGTTTAAACCAGGTTGGGAGGCGGCCAAGGTGGGGCCGAGGTTGGGCCGTGGGAAGCGGCCCTCGGGGGAAACCCTCAGGCGGCCTCCTTGGCCGGGCCACCCCGGGCCGACGCCGCGACCCGAGGAAGCCCGGGGGGCCGTGCCCGAGAAGGGGAAGACGACCTCCCTGCCTGCCTGCCTGCCTGCCTCCCTCCCGCGGCCGCCGCACTCACCGAAGTACTCCTTCCGCACGTGCATCTCCAGCTCCTTCTCCAGCTCCAGCGTCAGCGCCTCCAGACGCCGCTCCACCTGGCTGGGGCCGCTCTCCCGGGCCGGCGTGACCTGGCAGGGGAGCCGCAACTTGGCGGCCGGGCCGGAGGGCAGCGCGGCGGCCTCGGCGTCGGGGGCTGCCTGAGGACCCTCCTCGGGAAGCAGCGAGGCCCGCGGCGAGGGAGCCGGCAGCTCCGGGTAGGCGCCCATCGAGCTGCGGGAGCTGCGCGAGCTGTGGCTGGAGAGGCTGGAGCGCGGGCTGACCAGCGAGGCGGCGCCGACGGAGCCCGGCGGCGCCGGGGACCGGCCGGTCGCGGCCTCCAGCTCGGCGGAGGAGCGCGGGCTGGCGTGCCGCTGGTCGTAGCCCATGCTGATGCCGCTGGTGCGGGCGCTGCTGGGCTTGCTGCCGTCGGAGGAGCCGGCCAGGCTGGCGCGCGGGCTGGAGNAAGGTCCGCCTCGCGCCCGGCCGCTGGACTCCCGGCCGCTGCGCTGCGCTGCGCTCCCTGTCCGGGGCGGCGCTCTCCGGACGGCGCCCTCCTTTGTGCGGGCGAGGCGGCGGCGGAGGAACTTCTTTGTGTGGGGCAGGAATGCGCGGAGGAGCCCGACGGCGCTGCGTCCCTCTGGAATGCGCTTCGCTCCGGCGCCAAACAATGGCTTGACCCGGGCGGGGGCGGGGCAAGGGGAGCCGCCCCCCCCGCCTGCGCTGCTGCCGTTCTCCGCGGGCGACCGGGCGGGGCGGGCGGGGGGGGTCCCGCTCCTCGACCCCCTGCGGCTTGAGCCCCCCCCCCGCCGCCCTGTGCCTGCCCAGCGGCGCCCTTCGGGGTCCGGCCCGACGGCGCGGGGAAATGGGCGCCGGCCTCCGCTTGCGCCAGCGCAGTCCTCGCTTTATAACCCAGGAGGATGGAGGGCCGTAAGCGCGAGGAAGGATCGCTCGCCTTGGGGAGAGGAGCGCAGGTGTGATAATTAACTAAATGAGGCGATTAGCTTGGCGTTTCCTGAAAGCCTCCTCTGGGGTGAGTTGATGACCCGTTTCCCACTTTTCCCGTTTTAGGGAATGAAGGCAAAGTTTCCCATTTGTTGTGTTATCCCCATCCAGAATAGGGAGCTGTGTCCTCAGGGTCACCTGGGAAGTGCAGATGTGTGTGGAGCCTTCTTGTATTACCTGTGAGCCGGAGGTCAGCCAACGGTCCTGAGCCCTGTAGCCCATTTCCCTCCGGATGTCCAGGAACTCAAACACCTGGTGCAGTTTGTGTTGAGACAACTGACCGAGTAGATGTTTCTGCAAATTCTAGGCCACCATATTTTTAATGGGAGAGACTCTTTTGTCTGGCTCCTCTAGTGAACCTCTGGCACAGCTCTCCTCTTCCTCAGAGCACACAAGCCCTACAAAACCACATCAAGATAGTGCTTCTCTGGGGACGCCTATTACGATTATAGTTCATCACATAATGTGCTGCCCCGCTCACTCACAGGCACATATAACTGGTTTAGTGAGTTCATCAATATTCCCCAGCAATTCCCTTCACCAAAACCCCCAGAATTGTCTCAATTAAGTCCAGTCATGAGCAGACCAATGTTCATCCAGAGAGCAATGGCCAAAGACTCCACAAGGCACTTGAAAGTTTCTCAAGCAGAATAAATCCACCGGGCAAACTTAAATCCACAACAGAAGAGAGCTTACGAGTAAAGAAAAGTCCAGTTTCCAAGGCACAGTTCAAATCAAGGTATGGTGTCGATCCAAAGCGGCAGGACTGGCCTAGGGGTATTTTAAAGGGGTTTTAAATTAAATTTTTAGTAGAAGCGGCCAAATTTAAATATTTATTTTTAATCTTTTTAAATTTTGTATTGTATTACTGTTTTAAACTGGCTGTAAGCCGCCCTGAGTCCTCCGGGAGAAGGGCGGGGTATAAATTTAATAAAATCTAAAAATCTAAAATCTAAACGACCAGAAAACACGTAGCTAGGAACCGAACATGTTCCCATAGTCGCTTCCATCTGTCTGCTGTGCTCAATAGCCAGCTTCTGGCACAGCCCATCAAGAAGGGCGAGGCTTTCTTCTCTCACGTAGTCTGGCTGACCGTCTCTGCTCCAACTTTTCTTTGTCCTACGTGTTCTTGGATCAGGTGCAGAAGGCAGTTCCTCTTCCTCCTCACTGACCATCTGCAACTGCATGCTTTCTCCAGCTGGAGCCTCAGCCAGCTCCCTTCCAGACAACCACTCAGAGCCATCAATTAACTCAGCTCCTGACAGGCCAGCCAAGAACCAGTTCATCCTCCCCCGAGATGACATTTAGAGGTATCTGTGGAATCGTCTGGGGGAGTCCTCAGACAGTCAGCCAGATGTTTAAAACTGGATTGGCATTTTTATCCACCTACTGAGTCCTTTCCAGGGTCCTGGGATAAGAAGATCTGGATGTTGGATAGGTTTGGTCACAAGATGGAGCTATTCCCAGTAAAGCTGCCTTTTGCAATGGGAATGCTGGGAATTTTGTCAAGACGGATGGTGCTCAAGTTGTGCTCCTGTTTTTTTAGGATTGCACCCCAGGCGCCTTCACTATTGATATTACCTTTGCTTTCTTTTGCCCCAGTCAGTTCACTTCTATTTGCAGGACATTGTTTTTAGTGATTTTCTCTTCTGCTGATTCCAGGTAGTGTCAAATTCACACACTTTTGTCTTCCTTATCAGCAATTGTAAAGCCTGGGGTGAAATGTGGCAGGGGCCTGTTTGTTAAAGTCTTGAATTATTATTCTTTGTTTAACAATTTGCCTTTGTTTTGTATAGCATATCTAATGCTCTGTGTCAGGCTTGTCCCTGTCTTACCCTTGAGCGACTTTGGGCGGCTAGATTTAACTTTAGTGTGGTATCTGAGTCCAGCGTATGTGAGGGAGACTGAAGAGGGATTATACAAGAAAGCACAATTGGAAAAGGAGATTCATCTGCTCCAACTCCTATCAGGGAACATATAGCTTGTGTAAACGTGCGACCTACTGTTGCTGCAGTTTCATTCTGTCCACATTTTGTAGGTAGATGGTCTGGAGCTCTTTCTCCTCCTCCTCTCCTGATTACTAAATAAAGCTGGCAACCCTCTTACCCGCCATGCTTAATTAGCTAGAACATCATCTGAAGAAGTAACTATGAGATGGTGCCATCTAAGCAGAATTGTAAGCCATCTGTAAAGGACAGCTTTTCCCAGCACAAAGAGGTTGCAGGTATTTTTCATTTTGTAACCACAATTGGGGACTAGCCGTTGGATTACATATCTCAACTTACTTTTCATACTTTTGAAACAGTGAAATCACTTAAGAAGTTGATTTAAATGTTCTCATGGCAAATAAAGATTTTTTTCTGAAAAATCAGTGAATTGTTTTTATTTAAAAAACCCTCCCTTTTCAATGCCAACAAATAAACTTTTTTAAAAGCCCTGCAGTATGTTTGTGGATACTCAATATCAAAGTTAGTACAGTATTATAAATTCATTTTACAAATCCTCATGTCAGCACGCAGGTGGTCTGTGCAAACAGATGTAGTTTATAGTTAATGTATTTATTTGGTCCATCAGGTGCCTGGTAGAGTAGCAGTTAAGTTTTACATAACATCCTATATAAATAATCCGAAATTCTAACACTACACCAACATCCATTGTTGACACAGCAGGCACTACCAGCTGACGGAGTATTGTTTTACAGTAATTTACATAGTGTCCAATGATTACTTGAAACACAATTCATTCATTTTCAAATTTAGCTCTGAAGGTGTGACAAATTGCAAGAACTAGGCTAAGAAATGTTTTTTTAAGCCAGAATTGAAATGTTCTAAAAAATTACCAATTTATAACTCTTTACCAATCTGCGGTTCCTTTGTTTTCCTTTATCAATTCATCTTTCAAACATTATAGAGAGCTTCATCTTTGTGACTGCTGGAGTAGATAAGATAACCCAGTATATTCCAAATAGCATACTGGGGAAGATCTAAATTTGATAGAAAGAGATTCTGCAAATCGGGCTGATACAGCTATTCACACCTCCCTTCCACTGGCTTTTGGGGCACACCCCCTGGCATGGCAGCCCTCAGTCCAGGGCTATCACATCATCCTGTTTGTCATCTGGCAGCTCGGAACGCATTCTTTTCGCCCCAGTGTATTCTTTGTCCTCAAGCTTCCTCTTGCGGTTCTCAGCTTCTGGGCCATCGGCATTGTTTGATGGACCTTCTTCAGTCTCAACAATCAGAACATCATCATCATCATCATGAGCTAGAAAAGAGTTATCATACTGCAAACTGTTTTTACAGTTCTTTAAAATGCAAGTTTACAGGAAGCATCTATGCATTTTTATTTCTATTAGTACTTTCTGCTGTTGGAGAACCACCATTTATGAATACGTCACAACCTGACATTTGCAGTGAAGGATGTGAATTACTAAACCACTTTAATTCCTAAAATGTCTGGTCAAAGAGAGAGGAAGACATGTGGTTGTAAGGACAAGATAAATCTAGTAGTGTAAATGGCGTAATCCTTATTTAGAGGATTAAATAAAATCTGTGTATTTTACAGAGTATTAAAAAATGTACAAAACATTTTCGCCGAGCCCTGAAGGCCCATCTATTCCGTGCGGCCGGCCTGGCGTAGTTTGGACTGTGTTTCAGTGGGGGGGTTTTGTATGGGTGTGTTTTTAGAACAGGCCTATTATTCAATTCGATTTTAAAACAGAAACTATTTATTTATTCGTGGTTTTTAGTATAGCCTGTTCACCGCCCTGAGTCCCGCAAGGGAGATAGGGCGGTATATAAATTTAATAAATAAATAAATAAATAAAATAATTAGTTTTCTTCAACATACATTACATTTCAACATGCAACTTGGCTGCCAAAACTTCCAAAATGACGAAGTACCTCAGCAATATTGTTTTTTTTCTTACCTGTAGATGTCGATGGCTGAGCTCCATCATCACTTCCGTTGGTGATATTTCTAGTGGGCTGTTCTGATTTGGGGCCAACGATCTCATCGCCAACAACTTCAAATTCCAAATCTTTCGCAAGGTCTTCGCTATTCAAAAAGACACAGACAAGAATAAGCTTCTATGGGCGAGGCTGCCTGGTTAATGAGAAGTGTTTCTGAGCCTCCTCCAGGTTCCTGCCATTGGCCAAGAAAAGCCACAGATTTGATCTCTCTGCTAGCAACATCTCTGTCATTCTTTCTGCAGAAATTCTGATTTCAGCAATATCTCATAAAGTTGGATTTGACCTTCCTCACCTGTGTAGCACATTGATGAGTAGGGTATAATCCTGCAGAAAGTCATCCGCTTGCAGCCGAGTGCCGTTTCGAATCCCAAATTCTGACAACATCTTGTGGTTATTTGCTGTAAACAAGGAAGGAAATCAGAAAAAGGACACATGTAATGTTTTATGAAAATGTCATTAACCTACAAAATTGTTATAATAATCAAACACAAGGCTGGCAAAACATTGAATTATAGTCAGTTCTTTGCCTGACTGAAAAAAGTGGGAGATACATGTACCATATTTGAGAAAGGAATATGCACAAAAGATGTAAATGTTTTATGGAAGTGCAGGAGCCAGTGTTTTCAGAATTACTTCTTCCTTGACCAAACAGTTGCTTTAACAATGACTCAAAATACATTCTTACTCAACCCCCATGTCTAACTGCAAGCAGGCCATCTTCCAGCCTGATATGCACTCCTCTTTGTAGTTCAGCTCAGGGTAGAAGAAGGACTTGAGAACTCTTCCCCTTCTTTCTCATTTATCTCTCCCACTTCCATATTTGCCCAGGTGAGTCACTGTCCAATCCTCATTTGTGAAACCTTTTCTGCTTTCCCTCTCTGTCATCACAGGTACCGTTTTCCTTGCATCTCGCACTTCTAGCAAGGACACAAGGAGAATAAGTTTTGATTCCCAAAGAAGCCACTGAGAAAAGGGAACGTCCGTGCTCTCCTTTCACGGGTTTTTCCTGCTTTACAAGTGGCTGAAGAAGGGAAATCTCTCCCCCCACCACTGTTCTCTTTTGCTTCTTGGAAAAGGAGGAGGAGAATAAGGGATGAGGGTGACCTGTCTAAGCAGCAAATTTTTCCTTGAAGGCTGCTGCCATTGTTGAAGATCTCGGCTTTCAATCCTGTTATTTCTGCCTGCAAACACTGCAGCTTTTCACCCTTTTGCTGCTTCGACTGCAAGCAGATTTTAGTGAGTGAGAATTTACTTTTGATTTTGCCTTGTTGTCTTACTATTAGACAACAAGGGGAATGAAAATTAATTCAGTTGTAAAGGTAGTGAATTGAGAAGAGGATATGTTTGTTAAATTAATTATAACCAGAAAACAATGTAATGTGCTTTCAGAAAAAAATAAGGCGTTTGTTTCTATTGTGGTGGGACAGAGTGTTGTGGAGTTTGGACAAAGCAATACTGATGAAATGTAACATAAAGAAAGTTGAGAACTGTTTTTTTCCCCTTTTTTTAATATTCACCATCCTGTTTTAGCTTTAATTTCATACCTTCAGTTTCTCCTTCTTCTGATGAGATGAGAATAGTTCCCTTTCCATCTTCTATTTGGACATCAGGCGCTACCATATTAAATTTCTCTTTAACTATCTGTTAGATGAAAATATACTTTCAGATGCTAAAATTCTTTCTCCCTTTCTCTCTAAATTAAAAACAAGAATGTTAAACATCGGCCGGGGCACCACAGATCCTGGGGAGGCGCATTCTGTCAATGCCGTCCAAGCAGGGGTTGAATGGGGAAAGTGCAACTGATTTACCTTGTCTTGCAGTGTTAGAACAGTGATTTTGTAGACATTAAGTTTCACCGTCACTTCTGGTTTACTTGCACAAACATAGCAGTTAGGATTGGGGGGGTCCAGAGCACATGGAACAAGCAGCTTCTTTTTGGGGTTAGGTTGTTTGTTCAGGAAGATCTTGGAGGAGGAAACAAATCATAGATTCAGGAGGGCCAGGGAGAAAAGAAAAGTAATCAGCTGCTACCACACTTACCGCTCTGCATTGCTCAATTTTTCCTGAGAGAATTTTTAGACCCTCCAGCACTATCAGACCAGCTATTATGGCATTGGTAGTAGCTATAGCAGGGATGATGTTTCCTGCCATTGCTGAAAAGGAAGCAAAAATAGGATGCTTTTCCTGCATGTAGAAACAACAGAGCAAGTGTTTTAAAAAGCTTAGGGAAACCAAAACTTACATTTAATATCAAACTTGCTCTTCATGTTCATACTAAAGATATGCATCCTGAGATTTGCAGCAGAAGTGACAAAATCCATGGCAGAAAGGTCATCCTGTAAACAAGATTTCTATCTTCAGTTAACAAGAAAGTATCTACAGCCCCATCATGAAGTATAAATATAAAATATATGGGTCATTTTCTTCAGTTTCGTATATTTTCAAAACCTTTCTTGCACATTTGTCCAGTAAAGAACATTTTCTAATGGATTCATGTCGCAGCCTTCATTTCATCTTAAATAGCATTTTCTGGCTCTGTTCAACAATATACAGTAGGCTACTTCTTAGCTAGCAGGCTGGTTTATTCCTCTGCAGTAAACAGACTCTCAGACATTTGCTGAACTAACCTTATCCCACACAAGCTCAGCTCCATCACCTTTTTCTCCCAGTTGAACTCTCAGGGTCTCTATGCTCCTAGCGAACAAATGTGCACAGCTCTTTACATCTAAAACCTGCTGGTCCTTGAGGCCCAAGGGAGACTCCTTCTGCTGGTTAGATGCGCTGCTGTCTTCAGATGCAAAAGGAGAAAAGAAAAACTGAGCAAGTTGTTCTTTAAAACATTCTAAACTGAATGCAATTTCACATCAAATATATTATTTGTACATTAATGAGAGTTCCACTCACTCTGCAACTATTACAAGCACAAATACACATCTGAAGCAAATAAACAGCAGCATTAATTTATAGTTTTTAATCAATTTAGTTGTATTTTAATGGTTTTGTTTTTCAACTGTTTTGATGGTTTTGTTTATGTGAAATTGTGTGCTATAATGAGTGACTATACATTAAATGAATAAAACGACTGGGTGTTTGTTTGTTTTTTGTTACCAAAGTCCTTGGGAATTGGATGGCATACAAATTT